TTGGTGTAAGTTTCTATTGGTAATTATTGCTCTTAAATTTTCTTATAACTTTTTTCATACAATAGTTGTCAAATAAATGAGTTTTTAGTAATCTGAAATTTCAAGATAGTGAAGCAAATTGGTTAGAGGCATATCTGTCACTAAGCATATACGGCAGAAATAATTTGCAATACTAGTGCATTACATATTCTGCAGCATGATTAATAAGTAGCCACTAAAGATTTAGGATTACAAGACAATAAAAAAATACTTTTATAAGTCGGAAACAATTGAAAAATTCCAATTACCTGCACATTTCCATCACTAATTGTTTTTGATTAATTACTTGGGTCTTGAACAAAAGGATACGATTACGTATAAAAGATAGACGGACGCAATAATGAAAAAACGAAACATAAGTTGGCACTCTTGCACTTCGACGGCCCGATCGCGCTGATTGGTTGATTGCATTTTGGTGGGAAAGTCGAAGAAGGGGACATCAGTAAATGGGAAGGGGGCAAAGGCAAAGGGAAAGTGGGACAGCAGTGAGGTGAAGGGGAGAACAACAAAGAGGTAGGGAACAGCAACAAGGGACGGCGGCGCAGCAGGGCTAAGCGAAGCGAACTTAGCTTCTTTGCTTATTTATATATATGTCAAAACGCTCGTATGGTCCAGTCGCAACGCCCCAGCTCTTGGTGATGTCGCTTCAAGTTCCGACTTCGGCAACTGTAAAATGTAGTTCTGCACCATGTTAAAACTGAAAATTAAGGTTTAAAACAGTTTATCCTATACTCATCTTGCCGATTTCTTCTATCTTTCAAGCCGGGTTTACCGAAGATAATATTAGTTTCACAAAGAATTATTACTTACGGATGTTCTTATCTCTTTGAATCGTAGGACGCTCGACAAAAGGCTTGCGCTTCCGGAAGACGACTTTGAGAGGTGGATGGCCTCCCTTCAACTGTTATTCCTGGTACGCGTCTGTTCCTAGGAGGGGAGGTATGACTCTATGCACAGAGATTAAGAAGGGTAGAGTTAAAAGTAATAAATACTTCAGGTGCGAAAGGAGGGATTACCGCAAAAAACTTAGTTTCTACAACGGCACATTTTTT